AAATAGGCAGCCTGGGTGGCCTTCCAGGCTACTGAGCTGCAGACGACTGAGTAAGCAGAGACAGCCACGACCTGCCTTTGATCTAGAAAGCACTTTTCTTCCAAGAGTTCAAAGCACTCTCCAGACACCACCTAATTCATCCTTACCCTCAGCCTCAGGATTAGATCCTGGTAAGGGGCCAATCAAGTCCATGCATCCAGCAGATTCCAACCCTGGTCAAAAGTCAGAATTCCTAAGGATACTTTTTTTTTTTTTTTTAATTTTTTTTTCCAACGTTTATTTATTTTTGGGACAGAGAGAGACAGAGCATGAACGGGCGAGGGGCAGAGAGAGAGGGAGACACAGAATCGGAAACAGGCTCCAGGCTCTGAGCCATCAGCCCAGAGCCCGACGCGGGGCTCGAACTCACGGACCGCGAGATCGTGACCTGGCTGAAGTCGGACGCTCAGCCGACTGCGCCACCCAGGCGCCCCCCTAAGGATACTTTTTAAATGCAGACGTTGAGCCCCCAACCCAGCCCAAATAAATCAGACTTTCCTGGGTGGGGCCCTAACTTCCACTAGTGATTCTGGCAAAAGGCCTGAATCTATTGCTGCCTCTAGACAGTATCGCTCTCCATCCCCTGGAAAGCTGAAGCTTCCCCCCCGCCCGCCGCCCAGGAAAAGGTGATTGGGAAGATGTTTTCCATGGCAAAGCACTTCATAATTCTGATAGTCAGAAGTTCTTCCAAAGCCTAAGCCATATTAATCACGCTAAATGTGAAGTTCTCTGAACTTCTGCGCAGTGGACCAAGGAGCGTGGCTCCATTCGTCTGGCCTCCACTTCCTAAGAGAGATGTGGAGGCTCCTGTAGGTTCTGAAGTTCAACAGGAGAACTGGGCTTTGGCCCCAGGTTTGTGCATTTGACCATGTCCCCACCTTGCCCCATGGGCCGTGGCTTCTTCCCAGTGAACACGCAACAGAGTCGAACATTGTATCAAAGATCTGACTCAAGCTCCACTCCAAGGGACAAGGGGTGAGAGACTGAGTGCTCCCAGACTTGCCTTTTCCCCCTATTCCCAATATACAGATTGTAAAAACAATCCAGGGCAGTGAGGTAAGGAGGGCCCCTGGTCTCCTGACACCAGCTCTCAGGAGCTTTCCCTAGGCGCTCAGGCCAGCTGCACAGCCCTCCCTCCCAGAAGCCAGAGCAGACCTGGTTCACTCACTGCAGCAGAACTGAATCCCTGAGGGACATGACTCAGCCTGGGGAGCTGGGACAGGACCCTCCCCTCGCCCCCACCAGTCAGTCCCATGTTCTCTGGGCTCCACAGGAGGGATAAACAAGGTGTGTGGTTTGGAAAAGGAGGAGGAAGCAAAAGCCTCTGCTGCCTATGTCAGTGCTGTCTAGCGTTTCAACGGTACGAATTCTCTGGTTGGCTTTGTTGCAGAATTTTTATGAGCATGAGCTCGACCTTATCAGTGCGATCATAAACTCCTCAAGATGAGGACTCTGTGTTCTATTTGCCTAACTCAGAGCCTGGCAGAGAGTAAGTGCTTGTTAAGGCGAGCTACGAGGACACCCTGTGTCCTGGGTGCCTAGCCTGGGGGGGAGGGGACACACAGTGGCAATGACTTGAGCCATGTCTGGGACAGGCGTTCGTTGGCCTTGTGGAGTCAACATGTTATACCCCACACTGAAAAACCAGTTGCGGAGGAGACTGGGAGGGGTTCAGACCGTCCTCAGGATCCCCCCGACTCCAGCCTGAATTGGGCCATTCCGAGAGCTTCCATTCTCCCCCCTCACTGATGCCTGGACATGCCCCTCCCGCACACATCCCCAAACCTCCAAATTCATCTCCTCGATGATGTCTCAGAATCACTTAACCTCACCCTGGGCTATTCGTCAAGCCTCCCATTGAAATAGTCTATACATTATCGGGATTTCCTGTTTGCTTGTTTGACAGCTGAGCTGCAAGAGCCCCTGTAGATCAGCTGCTTCAGTCACAACCCAGAAGCCCTGATGTGATCAACCTTTCTGGTTTCTTTAACAGAAGACAAGAGAATAAAAGAGGCTCTAATAGAGAATATCAGAGTACATCACATGCAGGAAGCATGAGCTCCATTTCAGGAAATGTTCAGTTACCCACACACAGAAGTGTACGCGAGTTGCAAAGTCAAATGCATTTCTTCTGGTGACTCACAATCACAAAAAGTGTGAAAAACACCACACCTATTTTCTCAGGTCACCAGGGAGGACACCGACACACAGAGAGATAAAGCAAGCTGCCCAAGGTCACATGTCTGGTCAGTGGCAGTGCCTGAGCAAGAGCTTGGGTTTCTCCTGAGCGATTTTAGTGCTCTGCTCTCTACAGCCTGCGGTCTCTGGTTCTGCACCCAGAGAACACCCCTGAGGTGGGCTAGGGAGCTCCGGGGACCCCTAATCCTTCCACAGCTCTCCAGCCAGGAGGGGGCTTCCATCGGCTGACCCAGGGCAGATGCACCTGGCAGGGATAATCCACTGGAACCTTTGGCTGAGCTAGTTTTGCACATGCAGCCAAGAGTGACCTTGGCTTTCATCTCAAGAACTCTTTGTCATTAAATGAGGGCAAAAGCACTAAACGAGGTCACTTTAAGATGAATGTGAGGGTTAACCAGCTCTGAAACAAGTCAAGAGCACTGGCCTCTCCCTGTGGGAGTGCAGGCCAGCAGAGAAGCATCCTACAGTGAAGATTCCAGGCCATGAGCTGGGTCACTGCATGCCCATTCAGGCTGTGACTCCTCTCACCTTCCTTAGAGAAAAGAGCACCCTCTTCTCTGGGAGGCACCACCTGACTTTTTCTGTGGCTCCTCAGGGTGAGCAACGCTGGGGTCAGAGGAAAGTGGGGTTGCAGGGAGAGTCAGAAACTAAAACAGCCCCTTATGTTACTGGTGAGAAAACCATAGCTCAGAGAGACCAAAAGATTTGAGCAAGGTCACAGAGCTAGCTGGTTGGAGAGCCACACATAACTTCAATCCAGAGCTCCTGATTCCCAGCTCCCCACTTCTCAGACCCACACACAAAGCATCTGGGTATCTTGTTACAATGCAGAATCAGTAGGGTTGGGGTGAGACCTGAGGTTCTGCATCCCAAAGAAAGTTCTAGGTGATGCCAATGCTACTGGCTGTATACCATGTTGTCTGGAAGGGTAAAGGGATCTTTAAACCTCACCACTGGTCATATCCAGGCTCAAACTCTTCACTTTAACCAGGCAAATCCTCTAATACTGACAAACATACTTATTTAAAATGGTAAGTATTATTATTTTAACATCCTTTGAATACTTATTATGTGCCAGTATTTTATTATCATCCCTATCTTACACATAAGGAAGCTGAGACTCAGAGAGGTTAAGTAACTTAGCCTGAGTCACACAGCTATTAAGGAGCAAAGCCAAGATGCAAACTCAGATCTGCCTGAGTCACAACTTAATCAGCTAAAAACTATATAGAAGTATACTCTCAATCCTTCTTTTCTCTGAGCCTTGGGGCCTCTGCCCAGAATATTCATAACACTCCTCCAGCCAAACTGTGCTTTCCCCGGTATTATTTGGCCACAATTTTTTCATAACTCAGGCTCTTAACGGTCCTTTTTTCCAGACCTGTGTATACCCAGTGGACCCCAACAAGTAATTTTTAGAGTTGATCTGGGGGTGACACAAGATGCGAAGGAGTTCAGGGCAATGTGTGGACAACTGATCTACACAGTAAGACACAGACATGTGGTGGTCTCTTTCTAAATCAGGGGCTTGCGTGCTTTCCCCAGGGCCATGTCAGTATAGACTCTGAAGCCCCGCCCCCAGGGCGTGGTGCTGGGCACCAGGAGCTTTGCAAGGAGGGGCCTGTGGTCTGCATTAGGACTGTTGAGGCTGCCCATGCCATAGGAGCGATTTTTGGGCAGGGACAAGAGCATGTGCAGTCACCCGGAGGACCACTTCAGTGCTGCCCAAACCCAGCCCGGTACTTCGGCCACACCTTCAGGATTAGGAACCATTCTTGGTTACACCAGGCTTCACAAAATGTGAGCTCACTGCTGTAACGTATACACTTGATGAGTAGGGACAAGTGTGGTACCCCAATGGCACACCATTCTCACAGGTGGATGAGCATTTATGTGGCCCCACGGCTGTGGCACAAGGCTGACTCAGGTTGGCTTCAGGTTCATGCTGGGATGCTTTCTCCAAGCAAAGGGGGAGCACTAGAAACCACTAGTTACTGCAGAGGCCCTGGTGGCCAGGAGATGGCAGGAGAGACGTGAGGGTGTGATGCTCCCGACAGTGGTCAGGATGGTACTCAGTGGGACCAAGGGCAGGTCTAGAGTTGGGGGGGGGGGGCCAGGGAGAGCCGGGCTGTGGAACCCTCCCTGTGCAGTCTCAGGGGCCAGGCTATCTCACCCTGAATGCTGGCCCTGCCACTTACAAGCTGTATGTCCTCGGGCCTGTCATTTCACCTTTCAGTACCTCGATTTCCATATCTATAAAGTGTGAGTAACAGTGAATAGTCCAGGGGGCACCTGGGTGGCTCAGTCAGTTAAGCATCATCTGACTCTTGATTTCGGCTCAGGCCATGATGTCACAGTTTGTGGGATCGAGCCCTGCGTGGGGCTCTGTGCTGACAGCGAGGAGCCTGCTTAGAATTCTCTCTCTCCCTGTCTCTCTGCCCCTCCCCTGCTCTCTCAGTCTCCACCCCTCCCCCAGTCACTTATGCTCTCTGTCTCTCAAAATAAATAAATGCACTTGAAAAAAATACAGTGAATGGTCCAAATGAGGTGGTGTGCATATTTAGAATAGTGCCTAGCATATGTTGAGGGTCTGATAAAAGTGAGCAAGGGCTTGACAGTATCTATATATCACGGCCGCCATAGGGCCCGGGCCCCACTCTGGCAGACAGTGACAAGGAGGCTTCATGGAATATGAGAAAGCGCACCTTCTGCTTCTGTTTGCCACACATAGGAACAGAGAATGGCTGAGGCTGGGTACTCACTTTTTCAGGGCGCACTCCAGTTCATTCTTCTCTTCATGAGCTTCCTGGAGCTGAGAGAAGGTCCTGGTCAGGAAGTCCTCGAAGTTGGACAGTAAGTGAGGCTCGTCCTTCTTCAGCTGCAGCCAGACTTGCTTGATATCACTTTCACTGCGACAGAAAGGGGGACACTGATGTCAGAGCATGCAAACACTGAGCTTCCCAGATGTGAAAGTGACAGCCAGAACACCGTTGTCATGATCATGACAGGAGTGGCTAGCATGTATTGAGTGCCTCCTGTATGCTAGGTACTCTATGTACATCGGCCTATTTGACCCTCACAGTAACCTACCAGGCTGGTGCTCTACTACCCCCGGAAGAGGGTGAGGTGAGCTGTCTCAGATCACTCAGCTGCTGAATGACAGGGTCAAGAGTCAAACTCAGGCTGTCTGGCTTCTGTCCTCGCCTCCTTAACCGCACCCTCCACTGCTTCCACGCTCTGGTTTCCCCAGGGGCTGGTGGTGCTGACTGTGCAAGGCCACGTGCTGGGAGCATCTCAGAATGTCAGGAAGAAGAGAGAGGACAGGAGCCTGGTGCATGTGAGGACAAACGCCATGGAGCTAAAGGAGAGAGCCTGTCGCCCCAGGAAGGATGGTCCTCACAGCTGAGAGGTAAAGACATGCCATCTGATGGATGGCAGAAAGCAATTGTCACTGCGGGGAATGGAGGAGAATATGCAGCACCCCACTGGGGCCTGGTGGCACCAGGAATGAGTGACAGGAGAAAGGAAGGGAAGGTGCAAATCTGCAGGATGTGTGTGCACACAGGGCAAGACAAGTAGAAAGTTGGCAGGGACGCGGGCAGGCAGAGAGATAAAGACACAGAGTGACATGTCCAGAGCCACTGCCACCCCCAATGCCCCTGGCTAAGAGGCACACAGGGCAGGTGTGCACTGGAGAGCAGGAGAGACTCACAGGGCCACACTGATCAGTGACGGGAGGACGGAGGCAGTGGCGCACCCCGCGGACCATGCTCTCCCTCTCTGGAGAAACAGCCGACCAACAAACTGAGCCGGAACAGCAGTCCAACCTGTAACCCATGAAATTCTAAAACCACCATGATCTGAGGGGAGCTACAACCAGGAACCCTCAGGATAAAGAATAAGATCCTTTGTTCTTGTGTAACAAGTGCTATATTTGAGAAGCTTGCCTGAGAAGTGACATTTGAAGGGTGCCTGGGTGGCTCAGTTAGCGAAGAATCTGACTTTGGCTCAGGTCATGATCTCGTGGCTCATGGGTTCAAGCCCTGCGTCAGGCTCTGTGCTGACAGCTTAGAGCCTGGAGCTGGCTATGGATTCTGTCTCCCTCTCTCTCTGCCCCTCCCCTGCTCACTCTCTCTCTCTCAAAAATAAATAAACATTAAATTTTTTTAGTGTTTAAAAAACAAGTGACATTTGACAGTGCATGTTAGCCATGTGCCTGGGGCACAGATATGGGACAGCCAATCGGCTAGAGCCTCCAGTAAGATTTGCAGACCCACACGATCCTCTTCCAAAGCTCTTTGAACCACTTACTCATGGCCACATCACTCCCTTCCAGATTTCTGGAGAAGGGACAAATCTGTCAATTCTTGATGAAAAATAAGCCAAGGCCCTTAAACTGCCAAATCACTCAGCCAACTGGACAACTGTGAAAAGCTGGGAGTCCAGACGTCCAGCCTACTGCTTCTGCTCCTGGTGGAAGGGGCTAGGGGTGCAGGGCTAGAAGAGACCCTGGGAGGTCAGCTGACCCATCTGCCTGCTTCCAGAACAACACACAAGCTATTCTGGAGCGTGAAATCTTGGAAGACCTCTGAAGTCTTCACAGCCTCCTCTGTTTCCTCATCTGGGGCCCCGTGGTCTTGACACCCCCCTCATGCAGCAACACGAGCCTTCTGCCTTTTGTTTAGCTTCCACGGGGATGGAAGGTGCTGGCCACCGTCTTCTACATATCAATGTCTGCGACCACTGTGGAAACCCTCCCTTGACCCTTCCCAGGATGCCTCATGCTGGCTCAGTTCTGCATTGGCCTCTGACACGAGCCCTCGGGGTAACATTGGGTAGACTGGTTTGAGAGCCTGGCCAGGAAGGGGGCTTCCCCAGAAGGAATGGGTGGATGGAGAAGTGCCTCTCTTTCATGACGGTTCCTCGGCTCACCCACACCACCCTCCTCCCCCCCGCCAGGAAGAGGCTTCACAGGGTCACTGGCAGTGGTCGCTGTGCCTCTTACCCCTAGAGGATCTGAGTCTGGTCTCTGTCTCATGCACTTCCCACCCACCTGCACACCCACGTGCCCCAGCCGACGCCCAGAAGATCTGCCCCTGATGCTGCCCCTGCTGCTGGGGTCAAACATGCTTCCCCACCCCTGCCAAGCCTCTCACCAGGATCTCTCCTAGGCTTTTGCCAGCCTTTCTCAACTCTGACACAGTCTATCAAATCATTTGCTCAAAATTCCACAGAGCTGCAGATCTTTTTTCTGGCCTGTGTGTTGTGTGCAGACCACTCCTTTCCTGCTTCCTCTTTATCATTCTCAATCCCAGTTCCTTCTCCTCCCAAGCCTGGGACACATCAGCTCCAATCATTAGGCCATTTTTACTCCCGGAACACATAGCCAACCCAGGACCGAGGGGACCCAGAAACGGAAAGGCAAAATGCAATGGGAAAAGGGAGAAGAAAGTTATTCCACGTTTTTCAGGCCACTGGTTTCCACCAGCTACATCACATTTTATTTTATTTTATTTTATTTTATTTTATTTTATTTTATTTTGTTTTATTTTAATTATTTTATCCTATTTTTATCTCATTTCATTTTTTTTTTAAGTTTATTTATTTGAGACAGAGCATGGGCAGGGGAGGGGCAGAGAGAGAGAGGGAGACAGAATCTGAAGCAGGCTCCAGGCTCTGAGCTGTCAGCACAGAGCCCAACATGGGGCTCATGAGATCATGACCTGAGCTGAAGTTGGCCGCCCAACCAACTGAGCTACCCAGGCGGGCCCACTGCATTTCATTTTAAATGTCAGGGCTTAGATAAATTTTGGGGGGGAAATGGGGGATTATGTTTTATTTGAAGTTCCAGCCATCTGAAATTTTCAGCCGAGCTATTGATTATCCAAGTAGTGGGCTGGTACAAATGGGTTCACTTCCTGCCTCAGTTTCCTGATGGTTAGGTTCGGCTCAGGGATACAGTGTGCAAATGCTTGCACGTAAGGTACCTTTGGCAGGAGCACAGCACCGTGGGGCTGGCTGCGATGCCCTGCAGCCCTTGAGACCCAGGGCTGGCTTTGGGGGAGGTGGAAATACTGGCAGGCTGGTGGTGACCGGAAGCCTCAGCAAAACACACTGAGAAACCCTCCAGGCCCGGCACGCCCCGTGCTGCACAGCACTCCTCATGGAACCAAGGACCATGCTGACGACGTAGGGTAGAAGTGAGGAGAGTGGGAGAAGAGGGGCCTAGCAGTGTTTCCCATGAGACAGTGTAACAGCAGACACAGAGCCCCTGGTCCATGGCGCACAGACAGGGGTCTGCCAAGGGCAGGCGGTACGGAACAAGCCTCCTCGCTGGCAGCCCAGCACCTGGGGCCTGGCTGAGTGCTTAACAAACTTTAATGGTGCACAGGGCAGACGAAGGGGCTGCTCCTAGGCTGGGCTCCATTCCCCAAATCACTGTCATCACTTACTCCTCGGAAACCTTCTGGGCTCCAAGTTTGTCCATCAGTGTTTGGAACTGAGTCTCCTCATCTTCATCCGTGCCGCCCGCATGTTCTTCCCCTCTGGACTGATACACCTTCTCTTCCTGGAGCCGTTCAACCTGCTCGCCTGCATCTTCCTGACCTGGCTTATTCTGGCTGAAGAAGAAGTGGCCTATAGGATGCACAGCACAAGGATCTGAATTAGGCAATATGCACCTGGGAAGACCTTATCATTCTTAGTTGCCAGGAATCGTTTGGGGCTCCTCTGAGGGAAGAAAAAGGGAAACCCCCTCCAGCAAACATTCCTGGACACCAGCTCCTGGATTTGGGGTCTTCCCGTCTTCCATGAGATTCTGAGTGAGCTGCTACAACCTGGGAAAGGCAGAATGGATGACAGGACTGTGGCACCTTTGTGGCTCTCTGGCTTAGAGCTCCTCTCTTCATTGGGTTCTTCTCTAAACAACAAGAGCCTCCCCTCCATCCACCTCCAGCAGGCTGACTGTGCTCCATATTACCATCGAGTCACTTCCCCCAGTGGCATCACTGAACTTCACATTTACAAGCAACATAACAGTTTTGGTGCACGTTCTCCATACTCATACTGTCTGTAATATACAGCAACCTGTCTTATGCTCCCAAGGCAGTTAGAAGCTCCTAGAGGTCAGGAAAGGCCTCAGATACTTCTAAACAAACTATATGGCACCTTATATGAGGCAGATGTGTGGTAAGACCTGCCTGCTGCCCAGTACTTGCTCTGATAAGTATCTGACCAGTATCTTATCTGATGGGATTTCTGGTTTCTTTATCTTGTTCATGAATCTCTGTCCTCCTTCCTCCTGGGTACTTTGAGAACCCTCTAGAAATTCCTCTGATAGCTGGTTCCCCTCACCCGGGAAGACTCAGCCAGACCCAGGCTGAAATGAGCCATGCAGCCATCCCACTTTGTTGTGAACTGGTGTCACAGAAAGGAAAGGAGACAAGGAAAGGCTGGAAATCTCATCTCGGCTCCCCTCTTACATCAAGCCTTCTGCCCAAGCTCCCTTGCATTCCCCTTGTCCTTCTCAGGTGGGAGGGGATCTGGCAGAGACAGTGCAGTGGGCACTGAGAGAACAGTGGTGTGGACAGCTGGTGCGGACACCAGAAAAGAGGCCCAAATAATCTGGAGCCTGGAAACTTCAGGAGGACAGGGAAGCTTGTGCTACACAGACCCATGGGTGTGGTGTGGGAGGAGGCATGCACCTTACATAGCTTTATGTAGCTGGGGCCCCGGCATCCATCAGAACTTACTAAATCCAGTGGTGAATTCCTCTGGCGTCAGAAAGCCATTGCCATCAGCATCCAGGGCGTCAAACACATGCTCCAGTTCCTCCAGGCTGAGTGGTAACTCCTCATGGAGCCTCTGAAAACAATCCAGATGGCACTGGTTAACACTCGGATCGTCACAGAGGGCTGCCCTGGGAAGGCAGAGCTTTCTGCCAGAAATGTCCAGAGTGGGCCCTGGCCTACAAAAGACCCCATTACCATCCATCCTTCTCCTCCTTTGAATGTTACAACATTGACTATTTATTGGGTGCCTCCTAATGTGCTAGGCAATTTGCTAGGCGATCCATAAATAATAAATAATAAATAAATAAAATATTTATCAATATTTTTATAAACATGTATATTTGTACTGAATTCTCGTGGCAGCCCTCTAGGTGGGCATTATTATCTCCATTTTACAGGTTAAAGTTACCTGCCCAAAGGTCACCTAGCCAGTAAATAACAATGAGTAGTCAAATCCGGGGTCTGACTCCAAAACTGGCCCTCTTCACAGCCACAAAGGACCAGAACTGTACTGGACTGAATCCTGTGGGAGGATCACAGCCATGGGACATGGTGTTGTCAAGTTGAATGAGACTGTGAACATAAAGAACATGGCACAATGCCTTGCCCAGAGAAAGCATTTGGTAAAAGGTAGTAGGAAGGGGGGGGGGGGGGGAGAGAGAGAGAGAGAGAGAGAGAGAGAGAATGAGAGTGATGGATCCACTGACCCACCAAGGCCCAGCAAGTGAATGGCAGAGCCAGGTTTCATGTCTAGTCCTTCCTGGTCTCCTCAGGCCCCTGTCCTCTGCCCTGGTACCTCCTCTACTGAGATGCAGGTATGGGTCACACCCTCAGGAGCCTTCCTGATGGAGGCCACCCATGTCCCAGGGCCCCGGCACCACATTTGTAAGTTTTGGCGGACACACATTTTGGTCCTTCAGCTCTGCGGGGGAAGCTGGATAAGCCCCCTTCTTCTGAGTGACCCTCACCCATCACACCAGGCTGTGCCCCACTTCTGCCCCCTACTGGCTGCCAACCAAAAAGATGTTAACTGTCACTGGCTTAAGGTGTCATTCCCCCAGGAGCATTTGTGTTCTAAGGGAGAATTGGACAAGATGGTGTGCAAGGAAGTTACATATAAGCACTGAACCTGAGCCCTGGCCTGGCTAGGGTCACAGAGGATGGGAGGGCAGGGACCAGCCCAAGGGATGAGGAACAAGTGGCTGAGCTCCTGATGCTTCCCTCCGGCCTTCTGCCTGATGTGCAGTGGCCCCAGGCCAAGGCTAATTTGCATAGTTGAAGCAAGCGTAGTCTTATACCCTAATAATCTAAGTCTCCAAACAAGGACTCCCCAAGGGAGTTCATTATAGCCCAGCTGCCCCTCCCCTTCCTCCCCGTTACCCAAGGGACAGGTGCACAAAATCGCCAGTATGCAAGTGACTGACAGCTGAAGACAATGAACACAGGGCTGTAGGAAGGAAGGTATATACCCCTCTGAACAATGAAAACGAGCCGGCAGGTGTGAAAGCCCATAACACAACTTACGAGAACATTTGGCTTGATCCTATGGCAATCTTCTAGCTGATAAGCCATAAAGTTTAATTTGGCAGGTACTGCATTAAGGCAGACTGTGATGCATTACAAAGTGGAAAGACAGGATGATGTGGAAGCCATTTAGGAGAACTGAATTAAATATGAATGAGTTTTTTAGAAAGCAAGGGGAGTGAGCGTTTGTGCAGAGTCTAGAAGTGCATCTGCTCAGCACAGAGCAGAATCTCTGGCTTATCAACATCCATAAACCAGCTGTCTCAAAAGCCACAGTAAGAGTATGCGGGGTGAGGAGTGAGTCAATTTTGCAAGCAGGAAGTTTTATTAGCCCCATTTGAAACCAAAGGCATCACACGGGAGGTAGGGTGAAAACCCTTGCAAGTCTGGCCCTCTCCTTGGGGTAATCCTTCCTCCTTCCCACCATCACCATCAGCCTAGGATTGCTGGATCTGATCAGTGACGTGCCTCACATAGGACTGGAGCTACAAATGGGCTGCAAGAGGTCTGCCGACATTGGTGTGACCCTCAATTTGCCTTTCACTGAAGCCACCCCCACACGTGGGTACCTTTTCTCTCGAGGACGTGAACTGGGAAAAGCTGTTGAATATACACCACCTTAGGCTCTATTCCTGAATCTAATACAAATCCCTCCATCACCTAATCTCAGCCTCTCTTGTCTACAACTCAGGCTGGTTTCCTCTTTCTGCTGTCCGTGAACCTGGAGAAAGTGATATTAGATCTTCCAAGTAGTTCTTGCTCCTCCTGTCCTGGCAAATTAGTACTGAGTGCTTCTTCAGCCTTCTCTGCACGCTGCACCATGCCAGATTCTTGACCCTCTCTTTGTTGGCCCTACTGGAAAAATTCTTTAGTCTCAATCACCATAATCACCTCTTATGTATCTTTGTTCTCAGGGCCTGCAGAGACATGTGAAACCAACTCATTCTGGTCTTGTTTCCTGGGCACCTGGTGCTGTCTACATTTTCAGCCAAGTGAGGTAAGCAGAGCAAAGAGGGACAGGATTATTCATTCCACTGATTGGAAAGCCTGCAAGGCTCTAGATTTGCCTAAAGTCACAGTGGAGACCAGCGCTGGGATTAAAGAGCTGATTTCTCATTTGGGGCTTCAGCTATAGTCAAAGTGTCCTCTGCTGTGTTCTTTCTAGAATTCCGTACTCAGCATTACCATGCCCTGCCTACCCACCTACCACCAAAAGTCTCTCTTGCCAGCAGCACCACATACTAGCCTTCCAGAGATCCTGTTTTTCACTTGTACTTCCATCTGGGAGGGCAGACGGGGGAGGGAGGAGGAATGGGGAGGAAGTCAGCTCACCCAATTCATGCTGCTGCTCTGTAAAACTCTGCAGCTCCTTCAAAGCCAGCCTCCCTCCACTGCCTTAAGTTAGCTCTGAACTCCTGTTTCATTCAGGCTCTGCAGCCCCTGGGGCAGGGCCAGGCTGTGCCTTCCCCTGAACACATTGCCTTCTTTTATCAGCTTGTAGTTATATACTGATAGACGCAATCAGTTGATGAATGTCTGCTCCTTCAGTGGACTAGGAGATCTGAGCCAGGGATTCTGTTCGTTTTTACTCACTATCGTGTTCTCGGGTAGCCCCATGCTGACCAACATGGAGTATTCAGATACTTGTTGAATGAATGAATGAATGAATGAATGAACGGCTAAGGGTGATGGCAAGAGACGCTGAACTCCTATCTAGGGAGCACTGGTCTGGACCTCTCATACTCCCAGTCCTGGCCAGCACTACTGCAGATTCTCAGCAAGGTCTTACAAACTGGACATTTTCCAAGACCAGGAATAGGAAGCAATTCTGCAGCAGCAGTGTAAAGGCCTGGGGCTCCCAAAAACCATGGAAAAATGCCATCGTCTTCTACACTCTAGCCAGACCCCTCTATCTTCCTGGTCACCAGTCCAGTAACATGCCTCACACAGCTTAAAATGAATGGGTGCACAGCTTCAAACATGTCTGAGGAAAACTTATTAAAGAGAAAACCAGAAGAGATCCATCTTTATGGCCAGAATTAAAGTCTCCCTTCTTCTGGGGCTTCTGCAGCATTCTGTTCAGACCTCTCTATTCCAGCACCAAAAACTCTCTTCCCTGTATCATAACTCAGCTACTCCAAACATCTTTATAAGGAGAATTCAAGGTCTGAGATGTGAGATTACCTTTATTCTGCTTTATGTTTTCACGTGCTTGTTTTGGGCTGAGTGTTTGGTATAGCCTAGGGTTTCTCAACCTTGGCACTACTGAAATCTTGGCATGGTTAATTCTTTGTTGGGTGACGAAGAGGGCACCATCCTGTGCCTTATAGGGTATGTAGCAGCATCCCTGACAATACCTAGTAGGTGCCAGTAACATCCCCCCATCTAGTTTCCATCGAAAATGTTTCCAGACATCACCGAACGTCCTCTAAGAAGCAAAATTGCCCCACTCATGTAGACTGGGCACACACAACAATAGCACCAGCTGGATATGAGTGGAAGGCCCCCTCTTTAGCAGGTATGCCTTTTCTTTGTCCCCGAGGAGGGACAGATGAGCACTTAAAGTCATAGTATGATGGTTTGGCTGGAAAATAGTACTGTGGCTCCTCAGAAAATTCAGAAACAGAACTACTGTATGGTCCAGCAATTTTCCTTCTGCACATATACCCCGAAGAATTGAAAGCAGGGACTCAGAGTATTTGCGCCCCCCTGTTCACAACAGCATCAGTCTCACACGAGGGTGTGAAGCAACCCAGGTGTCCGTCGATGAGCGAATGGATAAACAACCTGTAGTGCACAGGTACGATGAAATATTATCCAACCTTAAAAAGGCAGAAAATTCTGACACCTGTGACAACACGGATGAACCCTGAAGGCATTATGCCAAGTGAAACAAACCAGTCATAAAAGGAAAGACACCTGTGATCTGCTGATAGGAGGAACTTAGAGTAGTCAAATTCAAGAAGACAGAAAGCAGAATGGTGGTTGCCAGGGACTGTGGGGAGGAGGAGTCCATGGAAGTTAGTGTTTAATGGGTACAGCGTTTCCATTTTGGAAGATGCAAACAGTTCTAAAGATGGCAGTGGGGATGGTTGCACAACATGAAGGTACTCAATGCTGTTGAGCTGTACACGTACAAATGGTTAAGACAGTAAACTGTATGTTATGTGTATTTTGCCACAATTTTTAAAAATCACACTGTGGAGGACATATAGGGTACAAACCCCCAACCCCTGCTCCCAACACACACATACACACACACACACACACACACACACACAAAATGTATTTATGGAGGGATTTCCAGGTCCCAGTCTCAGGGCCAAGAGCTCTACATGCATACGCACATTTAATTCTTCTCTAACCCTGGGAGGTACTATAAATAATTCACAGATGAGGAACTATCGCCTAGAGGGTTTAAGAGGCTCACACAAACTCACATGCTATTAAGTTGCAGATTCAGGGCTAAAACTCAGTGCAATTTGCTATAAAAATCTTAGAGAGTCCAAAGTTAACCTAAACCAGGAATCAGCTAACTTTTTCTGTAGAAGACTAGGAAATACATATTTCAGGCTGGGCGGGCCTTTTGGTCTTTGTCACAGCTACCCAATCCTGCCACAAACATGAAGGCTGCCATGGGCAAGTTGTAAATGAATGAGCACAGCTGTGTTCCAACAAAACTTTACTCACACAAATAGGCAATATTTGGTTTGCCAACTCTTAGATGATTCTTAACAGTGTGGCTAGTCTAGGAACTCTAGGCGGTGTTGGGAGGTAGGTACTTGGCATTGGTAGGTAATCATTTCACTTTGAAAAGTCAAGGAAGCAGGGGTTTTGAGGCTCTAGGTGTCTTCAGAGAGATCTTCTGCCCATACTGGCCCCCTCTCCCTCTCTGGGCTGAAGAAGTCCCTTCACACCCTTCCAGCCTGGCCTTCTCATGTCCCTCTGTCCCTATGAGGCAAGACTGACTTTCACTCGGGGTCCTCAGCCCCATGACTCTGCTTCTCTAGGGGCTGCACCGGACTCTGCCCTGCAAAGCAGTCTTCACCCCAATTCTGCCTGGAGCGATCCCCATGGAACCCAGTTTCCTCATAGAGGAGGGGGTGGGGTCTGAGGGGCCATGGATGGAGCTGAGGTTTCTCAAACTGCTGCCTACAATCTGTTCACACAGGTTGATTCCAACACCGGCTGTCCCCGCAGTAGAACGTCCACATATGGAGCCCCAGCATAGGACAGCTTGCACCCTTGCCCTCAGTGCAGCCTGCCTCTGGTTCCTCCAGGTTTCTCCAGGAACCCAAAAGGAAAAAAACTCCTCCTGGACCCTGCTCCTTTCCTTCTGTGGTCCCTGCTCTCTCAGAGTGGGCTGGCTCCATACTGCTGGGGCTCAGACCCTGCAGCAGTCTCCTTCCCCACCCGCACCCCCCCACCCCTACCTCTTGGATGGACACAAAGTCTTTCTCACCCACTGAAAATAGTTTTTTGTCCATCAGGACCAAGAAGAATAAGAGCACCAAGGGAGGAGCTTAACTCTCTCTTTTTCCTAAAGGACAGTAAGCCCTGCATGGTCTTGTTCTGACTCTGCTTCTTTACCCACCTCTTCCAGCCCCTGGATCTGCTCTCCCTCGGGTCCATGGCCTCACCTTCCTTGACAATCAGTTCCTATTGTTGTTGTTGTTTTTTAAATATTTATTTATTTATTTATTTTGAGAGAGCGTGAGAGCACGTGGGAAAGGGGCAGAGAGAGAGAATTCCAAGCAGGCTCTGCACTGTCAGCACTGAGTCAGACACAGGGCTCGATCCCACAAACCGTGAGATCATGACCTGAGCGGAAATCAAGAGTTGGAGGCTTAACCGACTGAGCCGCCCAGGCACCCCTCAGTCCCTGCTTTAAAGGGCCTCTCCTGGTGGCTGAATTTTCGTGTGCATGCATAATCTGAGCTCTTCTTTCAGTTCCCATGAGGCCAGGCTGAGAACCAAAGGTGAGCAAGGTGGTAGTGGTCAGGTTCAAGGAGGTGACCACCAACCAAAGGGGTCACCTGGCAAAGCAGCTCCGTGAGGGAGTGACAAGGAACAGACAGATGTCTGTAGGTTCTGCCCAGGAGAGCCAAAGGGTACGTGGGGCTTCCACAGAGCATCCAGTGTTGATGATGTGTGGGTTGCTGTTCTCCACGTATCTCTTTCCAGCCCATCTTCCCCCAGATAGGACCCGAGAAAGCAGCAAAGAGATAGCGCTTAAGTGATGGGCCTTGTTCTTCCTTGATAGCACTTTCGGAGCCTACAGAACTGAAAATTTCAAATGCTTCACTGTCCACAGGTACACAGAAGCTTTAGGAAACAAAGTAGAAATAAAGGCCATGATGTGTAAGTATCCACTAGGTAGGATGTCTGTCCCCTTTTCCTCTTGCCTCGGTCACAATCAAGGACTGAGCAGGAATGTAGCTGAGTTGGTACCTCTGCAACTTGATGGTTATGACTTCATTCCGGGTCAGATACAAATGATTTCTTACAACTTACACTTTGCAGCTTAAATTCACCATGACTCTTCCTCCTTCAGTAAAGTGTGGGCTTCAGTGAAGGTTAACTGGGACACACACACACAGAGAAAGTGCTGAATTGCACCACGCATATGGTCCGGAGCTGACCATCAGTACATGTCAAATTCCCTTTTCTTTCCTTCCAGAAGGGACGATCAAAAGTTAAGTATGCCATTAAAACCACCACCACCAACCACCACAGACCTGTGAAGGACAATAATGAAGTTCACAGACAGGGTTTCCTCAAAGCACACAGAGTCTGGCCTTCCATGGAGAGTAAGACTTGGGTTGAGTTTCAGTGACAGAAATGTACTGGGGAGCCAACTACTGACAACACAGATGGTCTGAGCTCTCTCGTGGGCTAAGCCTGTCCTGTCCTCCGGGTCTCTTCCCTCCATTCGTGCATCTATGGCATGGTGGAAGAGCTCTGGGAAAAGCCTGAAAACACCATCCTGTGGGGCCAGGGAAAGACCCACGGCCTTCACCTGGGTCACATGGCTCATCTCTTTGCAGCTCCCACATGTGAGCCCAGAAGGGGACTGAGCCCCATGAGGGTCTACATTCCACTGCCCAACTTCATTGTATTCTGAAAAGCCAAATTTAAAAAAGAAAGCTTAGGGGCGCCTGGGTGGCTCAGTTGGTTGACCGTCCAACTCTTGATTTTGGCTCAGGTCATGATCTCACAGTTCGTGGGATTGAGCCCCGTGTTAGGCTCCATGCTGTCAGTGAGGATTCTCTCTCTCTCTCTCTCTCTCTCTCTCTCTCTCTCTCTGCCCCTCCCACATTCGTGCTCTCTCTCAAAATAAATAAATAAAATGAAAAAATAAAAAGAAGAAAACTTGACCATTGCAGGATTTTCTTGCAACAGCACGGCCATGCATCCCTCCCCAAGATGCTCTTGGCTGGAAAGAGCTGGAGAAGGGCTGAGTCCAGCTTGCTCTGGTGGAGCCTGCATCTTGTTTATGTCAGAGGACATCACGGCTGCAACATAACGGACTTAAGTAAGACACTCAGAAGAAGCTTTTGACACGAATGCTGGAAAGGCACTAGACCAGGGGTGGAAAACTATGCCCCAGGGTTATAAATCGGACCCCATCATCTGTTTTTTATGGCTAGTGAACTAAGAGTGGCTTTTACACTTTTATTATTTTTTATTCAAGGATAATTAGCATACCATGTTATATTAGTTTCGGGGGTGAGATATAATGTTAAATGGTTGAAAAAAATCAAAAGAAGACTATTTGGGGACACACAAAAATCATATAAAATTCAAATTTCAGTGTCCATAGAAGTTTCATTTGATCAGAGCCAAGCTCACCTGTGTACATATTGCCTATGTCAGCTCGTGCAGCAGCATGGCGTTGAGTGGTTGTGATCGTGTACATGGCCCACAGAGCCTAAAATCCTTATGGTCTGGCCCTTTAAAGAAAGTTTGCTGAGCCCTGCACCAGGCAATGGGGTACACCGGGGTTCTGCAGTATGTCTCTTGGGACCCAGTTATGAGGGGTTGAGTGTGGTTGGGTTTCTGGAGGAGCTCCAGAAATGCCTTCCTCCCTGGTTGTTGCACTTGTCAATGTGTTCCTAAGGCACACACAGCACCACGGCATAGCTCAAAGCTTTATTGTGAAGTAGCAAGCTGGTGCCTTCCCACTCTGTTTCAGAAGGTTCTCCACCATGTCTTACTCAAGTCCTGTATGTTGCTATCACCATTTTCCAAACCTGACAGTTACTGAGTCAGAGAGGGGAAACAATCTGTGAGTCTGACGGCAAGCAAAGGCCAGGAAAGGAATGAACCTAGGAGATCTGGCTCCCAGTAGAGTTGAGGCTGACACCTCCTTCCAGGGCAGAGTAGATGGCACCTTTACTGCCCCCAGTGGGGCAGGCCCTAACCCAAGATGGAGAGAGCCATGCCATTTGGCATTCCAGGTGGGCTGGCCTCTTACCTGCATATCCCTCCTGGCGATGAACCCCTTGCCTTCTGTGTCACAGGTCTGAAAGAATTCCTGTGCCTTGCTCAGCATGGCCAGCTCTACCGGTGCCAGCTCCTGGGTCTCCTTACACTCCAGGTTGTCCAGGGGACTCAGGCAGGCCCCGCTTTCCTTTGGACCCTTTCCAGGTCTCTGGGGTCTAGAGACCATTCTCCTGTCAGGGGTAGCCATCCGGGTTTGTCAATTTCTTCAAGTCTTTGCAGAACCTGAACACAGAAGATGAGAGAGACAAGTGGGTGTGGTGTGGATGGAGTGAGGCTGAGAAAGAATGAGAGGGCATTAGAGGGCAGCCATAACTGCTCACCAGTGTGCCTGGCCTCTCTTACCAACCACCTCCTCATTAGCAGAACGGCAAGGGGAAATGTGCTGTGATTGCTAATAGATCAGCCAGCCCATTGAAAAAAGAAGAAGGGGGAAAAGAAAACAGACATTTCTAGAGTGAAAGAAGGTGGCTAGTGGAAGCCTGAAAATAATTTCTCCCCATTTAAACTAACAGCAACAAAACAGATCCTGATAGACAGACCAGCTACCATTTATTGAGTGTTCACTTGGAGGCAGGCACCATGTCTTGGTCTCTGTATACATTTTCTCATTTATTTCTCACATCCCTCTGAAATAGATATTAGCATCTTCATTTTATCAATGCTCAGAGAGGCTGAGTGACTTGACCAAGGCCACACAGCAAGTTAATGCAAAAACAGATTTAAATCCAAGCTCATCAAACTTGTATTTGACCTTAATCCTACATTGTCCTGACTCTTCAGCATTTCGAAGGTGGAGAACTCTCTTCTCTCAGATTCACTGTTTCCTATGCCCTTCACAATCAACAAGTTCTTGGTGAGCTCTTAGCTCATACTGCAGGCCTCTACGGGGCCTGAGAGCATGCAGCGGAAAGCTGATGGAGGAAAGTGTACTGTGTCCTCAAGGAGCTTCCTGCTCTACTGGATTTGCCAGGCCTAGTTTGGTCTCTGGCCAACATAAAATCACAAATTATATGTCCTGATCAGACATTTAAAGCCCCTTATGGATTTTTTTTTTTTTCAGAGGGTGCACTGTAATGTGATGCTATGGGAGAAGTTATGCAGAAACCAACTTCTAGTCTGGACTGTTGCTCCTTAAGTGACCTTGAATAAGTCAGTACCTGTCTGGGTCTCAGTTTCCTCATCTGTGTATTGAGAAGACCGGTCCTATTTTCTTTAAGGCCCCTTCTACCTCTGACAGTCTGTAAGTGTATGATATTTCAACATAATAAATTGTTACTAATAAAAAAATGGATCAATGTGATGAAAGGAAATAGTCATATCCTTGGAGTTTTCTATCTGAAAACTTTTTGGAAGTAAGCTAGGTCTAAATTTTTAAATATTTAAATGTTAAAATACAGATACGCACTGTGATGCATTTTGGGGAAATGCAAAAAGTGAAGAAGGAAATACAGATCATATCTCCTACACCATTGTCAGAAAAAAAGGAGGAAAATCACACTATCACCAGGTGGGTTTGTCTGATTATCAGAGCCCAGGGGTCTGGCTCAGCTACACCATAACTCCAAAGTAATCTGTGATTTGGGTCAACATTTTCCACCTACCAGATGTGTCAAGAGCTGTGGACCCAGAGCTGGAAGACTACCTCTGGCCTCAGGAATGCACCATGTGTAACAGAGCCTGGACAAAGTAGAGGAGACTTGACATTCTTGCTCCACTTGGACTGGACAATGGGCTCCCACCTGATCCCTTTGACTAGCCCTTCACTCAGGAATCGGGTCTTTCTCTCCATTCCTACACAGTGTGAACTGGCTGTCACCTAATCATAGACAGACTTAACATTTCTATTCTGTCTTCCCCGGAGGGAACTAAAGGCCTTGGTTATAAGTCCCAAGAGAGTAGGGCTGTTTTTGCATGGCTTACGTGTATTGCCCAAAATATCTATCGCAACACTCAGCTTAGGAAGGGCTTTTGGATAATAGAAGTGGTAACATCTGAGCTTCTGTAAATGTACAGCATTAGCAGAACAGTCTGTGTCTTCCTGCTGCCCAGCCAGGACTGTCTCGAGGTCTCTGCCATCCAGTAGCCCCTACCTTATTCCCACCTGCGGTTCCCAGAAGACTGGATGAATAATATCTGTTCTTCCTTGAGGCTTTTCTCTTGCCAGCCCCATAACATACTTCATCCTAATGGAACCTAATCCCTCTATTAGGTAAATTAGGATTCCCATCACACAGATGAGGTAACTAAGTTAGGGAAAGGTTAAACAACTTGGATCAAGGTCTAGTATAGTTAGAGACCCGATGTACTATACCATATTACTTTCCTAGCATGGCTCCAAGCTATGGACTTGCTCTTGATGGTCTACTTATCCCCAACAGATAATAACCTAAGTCACTTCCCAGAGGCATGTTCATCCTTTTAACATTTATCATTCATTCAATCATTCATTCATTCTTATTTATCAACTACCCAATTAGCAGGCTCTGAGCTAACACTGAAAAATGCAAACATGAATAAGACATGGTCCCTGCTGTTAATGAATGAGTCTCAAATAGTGGGAATTCAGTCATGGTAACTGCTGGTAAGGGAAGGTATTTCAGGTTGGGTCCTTCCTCCATATCCCTCAAAACGGATGACATAGCAATCAACTACTTCTAACCACCTATGTGAGCTAAGTAAGCCCTTGAGCCACTCTGGCCTGGAAATTAGTAGAGATGCTCTCTCAGTTCTAGGCCTGACTTTCTCTGGCTCTCTGCCTTCCCTGACCCATGTCCCAGGTAATGCATGGCATGAGAGAACCAGTCCAATAGTTCTAAAGCAGCCAGCTATGAGCAACTAGCAGATAGGCACCATGTCTTATTTGATTTTAACCATAGTTCCTATCCCAGAATATGGTACACAGTAAGTGCATATTGGTTGATTCTTAAATGAAGGAAGAACAATTTTTTTGCTGCATCCTTTGCAGGGAGGCCTAAAAACATTTGTGTTTCAATCAGATAGCTCTCTGTGCGGGATTTTTATCTCATAAAGAACAAATTCAGATTTCCGTTTCCAGAAAAGATGGAGTAACAGGGACTGGGTTTGCTTTCCCAGCTAAAATAATTTTTAAAAAATCCAAACAAAATATATTTTTGAAAATTCTTGGGGCGCCCGGGTGGCTCAGTCAGTTGAGCATCCGACTTCGGCTCAGGTCATGATCTCGCAGTCCGTGAGTTCGAGCCCCGCGTCGGGCTCTGTGCTGACAGCTCAGAGCCTGGAGCCTGTTTCGGATTCTGTGTCTCCCTCTCTCTCCGACCCTCCCCCGTTCATGCTCTGTCTCTCTCTGTCTCAAAAATAAACAAACATTAAAAAAAAAATTAAAAAAAAAAAAAGAAAATTCTTTCTAAGACACTAGACATCAGTCAATGAAGGACAGTGATCCTTCAGCATGGCCAGGTTAGGGTGAGCTGAATGAGGCCCCTAAAGTGCAAAATTAAAGGAGGAATTTACTCTCAGGTACTAGCCCTGTACTTGCACAACTCTGAAAGTGAGTGCCTGCTTTTTTGAAAAAAATTTTTAATGCTTATTTATTTTTGAGAGACAGAGAGACAGAGAGACAGAGTGCGAGCAGGGGAAGGGCAGAGAGAGGGAGGGAGAGACACAGAATCTGAAGCAGGCTCCAGACTCTGAGCTGTCAGTACAGAACCCGACGCGGGGCTCAAACCCACAGACTGTGAGATCATGACCTAAGATGAAGTCAGACGCTTAACCGACAGAGCCAGAGCCACCCAGGCGCCCCAAAAGTGAGTGTCTTCTTAAGGAAGAGGCGCCTAAGGTACAATATTCAAAGAGAAATCCATTCTGAAAACTGTGCATTAGAGAGTAATTACTTTCTAAATTTTGCACCCTAGGGACCTTACTCACCTCACTCTAGCCCAAAGCCTGTTCCTGACAGAAACAAACAAAACAAGCCCTATTATTGCATAAAGAGTTTTTAGGCCATGACACAGGAAGGGGGAAATCCAGGCAGGGACTGGCAGAGTCTCCAAGTTGAGGAAACCCAACTGTATGCTGCCTATAAGAAGTATAAACTTTATGACACAAATAGGTTAAAAGTAAAAGGTTAGCAAAATATATACCATGTTAACACTAGTCAAGAAAAAGCTGCATATTAATATTAGGCAAAGTTGATTCTACAAGGAAGAATATTAATGAGAATAAAGAAAGTAATTCATAGTGATAAAGAAGTAAATTCATCAATAAGATAGTAATACTCCTAAATACTTCTGTACCTAATAACAAGGCTTTAAAATGCATGAAGCAAAAACTGATACAACTCTAAGGAGAAATAGACAAATCCACAATCATATTCAAAGATTTTCATATCCCTCTATCAATAGTTAATAAAACAAGTAGACTGAAATCAGTAAAGATACAGAAAACACGAACAACACTGTCAACTATCTCGACCTAACTGACATTTATAGAATACTCAACAAAGGGTTAATATACTTTCTTTTCAAGTGCACATGGGATATGTGGCCCAAGATGGTCCATATCCTGGTCCATAAAATGAGTTTCAATAAATTTTAAAGGACTGAAGTCATAGAAAGTATGTACCCTAACCACAATGGAATTACACCAGAACCAATAACAGAAAGACCCCTGGAATACCCTTAAATATGTGAAAACTATATAACACACTTCTAAATAACTCATGGGTCAAAGAAGAAATGGAAAGGGAAATGAAAAAGTACTTTTAACTAAATGAAAATAAAAGCACAATATATCAAATTTGGTTGGATATTACTAAAGTAGTACTCAGGGAAAAAATTGTAACACTAGACACATATAATAGAAAAGAAGAAAGGTCTCAAATCAATGACATCAGCTTCTACCTTAAGAAACTAGAAAGAGAAGAGCAAAGGAAACCCAAAGTAAGGAGAAAAACTAATAAGGGTCTGAGCAGAAATCAATTAACTAGAAAACAGAAAAACACTAGAGAAAATTTATAAAAATAAAGGCCGGTTCTTTAAGATGATGAATAAAGAGAGAAGACACAAATGATAATATCAGAACTTTGAGAGGTGGCACATTACAAATTCTACAGACATTAAATGGCTAATAGGAGAATGCTATGAACAGTTTTATGCCAATAAATTTGACAATTTAGAGGGGATGGACAAACTCCTTGAAAATCACTAAATAACAAAGTTCACTCAAGAGGAAATAGATAAAATGAG